TGGGAATCAATCGAGAACAAGTAAGGTCTCCCTGACAGCCCTTCCCTGCAGCACTGCCTTCCTGGAGGGTGACTAGCTGCTGGGTGGGGCGCGCTGTCAGCCAGCCCTGCTTAATCTCCTGGTATCCACAGCAGGGAGAAAGGAGAATCTGGTATTCATTGTGTGGTTATTTCTAATTTCCTTCTGCTTTCGAGATCCTCTTCTCAGAGAGAACAATGTCCTGAACGAGGCCCAGGCACCCGCCCAGCTGCGGGGAAGGCAGCACCCAAGAGAATACAACGGCAGGGCAGATGGCATTTGATTCCCATCCTCTGAGAATCTGAGAATCGCTGGGGACAGTGGGATTTGGTGGCCATGTCGAATCCTAGCTTATTGTTTGTTGTTCTATCCCTGGACCTTGGAGCAAGTCTCCCACCCGCACCCTCCCACCCCCAGTCTCATTTATGAGTATTATTTTAAAACTATCCCTATCTGCCAAGGAAGGACAGTCCTTCCTATACCACCAGGGCTCTGAGGCTGGGTGGGTGGAGGGGGCCCTGGAACTCACAGGATCCCCTGTAGGTCCGAGATTCTGGAACTATGAGGCCACTTCGTGCCACTGTGCACCCAGCAGGAGGGGGACAGTGTTGGGTCCTTGAGCACATGGGCCAGGCCGCTCATAGGCCAGCGCCTGGGAGGGTCCTCAGCAGAGGACCTTGGGCCGACATTCCCCCAGCCAGTGTCTTGTAAGGCCAGCTGGGGGCAGAGTGCCCAGGATGGCGTCCAAGGAATGGGGTGGGGTTTCCTCATTCCTTTCTGTCTTCACACTTGGCCTCTTACTTGTGGATTTCAGTACATTGATCAGCCTTGTTTCTCTTTCATCACCAGAAAGCAGAGATAACCCAAAAGCGAGTGACCCAAGTATGTAAAGGGGTAGGAGAACTTGAAGGGCCATTTGACTGTGATCCTCAAGTCTATAGGGTTTTATTGAGAAAGATGCTATAAGAATGGCAGGTGAGAGTAAGAGGCGTGAGGGGGTGACACAGCTCTGCAAGGGGCTATGGCAGGGTCTTTAAGATGTGACGACACCGGAGCAGGGTTGCTCACGCTTAAGTCACCAAGTGCTGGCATCACAATTTCTGCCACATCCATATACTATTTTTTTTTTAAGTTTGTAGCAGAGGATAGTTTTATTAGAGCAGAAAGTTACAGCTCTTGAAATGAGAGGGGGTCCCAACTGGGGTGCTCCCCTATACTATTTGTTCAATAGTTCTTTTGAATAAATTTATTTGAAAACCCTTACATTTAATTAAAAAGAAACATTTATGTCACTACCATAAATGCAACCTGGCATTTTTCTAATAAGCACTGAAGCAAGTTCTTAACTGTTAGAATAAAAATATTCATCCTGTACCACTAACCTCTTGAACGCCACCCCGGGCTTTGTGTATGTTCGTGGTGTAAGCTGTTACACACAAGGAAGTCTCCATGCGTGGCTAATGGTGACGTTGGGGGTGAGCTTGGTGTTGGCAAGAAGGCGTAGGGTGATCTGTGCAGACTGTGATCCCATCAGTGATGCCCCAGGGAGAGTATCCCCGCTTGACCAAGGGTTCCCCTGTTCCATCGCAGCATCTCCAAAATGGGAGAATGACAATGTCTCCTTTAAAGGCTGGGGGACGGTGCTGAGTTCATATATTTACAAGGCATTAAGAACAGTGTCTAGTGTCCGGTAAGTGCTCGACACATGTCAACACACACCATAATTTGGGAGATTCTGGCTGAGGGCTCTCGGCTGTCCTGGGGGTCCCATCATCTGCCTGCTTGGAGACAGAGCCAGGACAGAGCAGGTCCCCAGTCTCCCTCCCGCTCGCCACGGATCTCTGTTGCTCTCCATTTCCTCTGTTGGGACAGGTGTGGCCAGGTGATATGGCCGTCATTTCCTTCATGATTATAGGATTAAACTAAGATGTGGTCACGGCATTAGTCATCATGAAACATCCCCGTTGGAATCCGCGGTCATCTTTGTCCACTGGAGGCTCTGGAATGGGCTCCCAGGGACAGACACTTGTGTGCATGTGCTGGGGGCCCGTTGGATTTGGGTCTGTTGCTCTATGTGAGCAGCCGTGGGCTGTTACTGGAATGGGATTCATGGCTTGGAGGGAGAAAGGAGCTGTGGGAAGCAGTCCCAGGTTCCTGGTGGGATTGGAAATTCTGCCTCAGGCTCTGGAATTTTGACTTCCTGTTTGGCCTGGTACTTGTCCCCCCCCTCCCCTCTTCCCCCACATATTTGGCTCGGACACATCCTCTCCCTCCCCCCTCAGGATCGTTTCCTCATCTGTAAAATGAGGGGGTTGCACTAGATGGTATCTAAGGTCCGTTTAAGCTTGAGAAAGCTGATTCACTTCCCAGCCACACCCTCACTTTCCCCTCAGTCCTCTTGATTGACAGGAGAAGAAAGGTAGGAAGGAAAAGAGAAGTAGGAAGAGCCATGCATCCCACAGTGTACAGGACAGGCCCCACAGCACACAGTCGCTCGTCCAAAATGTCAATAGCACTGAGGTTGAGAAGGCCTGCCTTATGGGCAGAGACACAGAAGGGAACAAAAGATTTTAAAGGCGAATGCATCACCAATGCCCTACAGATGGTAAATGGTTAGACAAATGATAATGAAAGGGGAAATTCAGGGAGCAAAGAAAATGCATGGGAAAACGTTTTTAAAGGGGGGAGAGAAGAGGCTGTTAGGATGGGGAAGGATGTGTTCGCAAAGTGATCACAGCTGGGGTTGTTAGAGTAAGCGGCTGTGGCCCGACAGCATAAACCAGTGTGGGGGATTGCTATCCTGCCCTCTCCTTCCTGGTTCACTTTGAAAGATGTCACCCTGCAGTTAGGGGCTCCTCCTATGGCATTTCAGCAATGCAGCCAGTCAGCAATGGTGCCTCTTGGTGCCACAAGTTGCCCTTGGGATAACAGGCTGGACCCAGAGACTAAGGCAGTCATTATCATCTGAGCATTACCGGGTGAACCAGTCATGGTTAGATTTTCTGTGAGACCTTTGTTTCTTATTGAAATAATAAATCAGTTATCTCCAACTCTAGAGGAAGATACCACAAAAGCAAGATTCAAAGAAATTAACAGAGAGAATGTCTTCATGACCTTAAGGGTGGGCAACATTCTCTAAAACAGAACACAAAAGCACTAACCATAGAAGAAAATTTGATAAATTGGACTTTATGAAAATTAAAAGTGTCTCTTCAGCAAAAGGCACCATTAAAAACATGAAAAGGCAAGATCTCAGCCTCGGAGAAAATATCTGCAATAAATATATATGACAAAGGATTCATTTCCAGAATATTTGAAGAGCCACTAAACAAATGACCCAATAAAAACTGGGAAAAGACTTAACAGTCACAAAAGAGCATATCCAGATGGCCAAATAAACCATGAAAAGGTGCTCAACATCATTACTCATCAGGAATATACAAACGAAAACGACAGGGAGATACCACTATACACCCTCCAGAATGTCTAATGAAAAGAATGAAATACCAAGTGTCACTGAAGGTATGGAGCAAATGAAACTATCATACATTGCTATGAGGAGTGTAGAAACGGTACAACCACTTAGGAAAACTGTTTGGCAGATTCTATTAAAACTAAAGATACGCCTATTCTATAACCCAGTAATTCGACTCCCAGGTATATATACCCAAGAAATATGAGTGCATATGCTGACAAAAAGATATGTATAAAAATGTTCAAAGGAGTTGTTTCCAAACTTGAAACACCCCGGAGTCCCATCAGCAGAAGATTGGAGAAATAAATTCTCATATATCCATACAATAGAGCACTACACAACATGAAAGATGGCACGTTGTCTGATTCCATTAATGTCATCTCAGAGTGATTTTTGGTGCAGCATCGAAGCTTTCTGTTTTGCCTGCTACTCCCCCCAAGCACAGAAGCCTTAGATGCCATTTTCTCAAAGAGAACGTCATCATGTATCCTGATATTCTAGGAACTCAAATCCCTCTACCATTTTAAGAAAACAAAAGCATGGAATGGGGAAACCATCCCCTGTACGTACACTGTCCATGAATTTCTTCCAGTTGGGAGAAGAACCCATGGTTTCCTACCCACCCTGTTCATCTGAACTGTTCTGTGTTGTAAATTCTCTGAGAATACTGAGTATTGAATATTGAGAATATTAAGTATTGGCTATAGCAGTCAATATTGTGAGACAAGTTTGAACCTCAGCTCTGCTCCTCTTAAGCTGTGAAGCTCTCAGGCAGTTACTTAATTTCTCAAAGTGTGTTTTTCCTTGTCTGTAAAAGGGGACAGTGCTACTTACCTTACAGTTGCAGTGTGAGGGTTCAGTGAGGTCGTACATAAGAAGAGCTCAGCTCAGCATCAGGGTCATTGTGAGGGTAGGGTGGTGTCGAAATGTTAAAGCTTTCACTTTATTGCTGCCCGGTTCCTTCCAAGTCTCTAAAAGAGGACTAGCGTCTTTCTCTTCTAAACCATTCAGCTCACATGTGAAAAACAGTTATGCTGATGATTTCTTGACAAAGTGGAGATACTGAAGGAATGGTAGAAGCTCAGAGCCTCAGCAAGGGAGGGGGGACGCCATTTTCAACTAGGTTGGTAAGCAAGAAGGTACTGTGTGTGTGGACCTTCAAGAATGGGTCAGGTTTAGTCACAGAGGGAGGATGAGGAAGGTGATTCTAAGTTGCGGGGGGAGGGGAAAGGTGGTGCCTAGAGACCAAAGGTGTAGTTTGGGAATGGTGAGCAGGCCGTTTTGGTTGGCGCCTAAGATTTATGTCGGAACTAGTGGAAGATAAAGTTGGAAAGGAAGACTGGCTCCATTTGAGACCCCACTAAGAAAGCTGGACTTTTTCTAGAGGAAAAGGTGTCTCTGAACATACTTGAGGGGAGGAGGTGTAAGAGAAACCAGGGGCGTGCAGACCCACAGGGATATGCAGCCAGGCCAGGAGGCCAGAGAGGAAAACAAGGTGCATTTTCAGGTGGAGATGAGCTGGAGGTGGGCTGGAAAGGAAGGTCTATGGAGATGGGGAAGGCGAAGACTCCTGAAGTCTTGGAGCCGATTTCCCGAGTTTATGAAGCAGAAAGGAGAAAGCAGAGAGAAAGTGAGTTTGGAGATGATAACGTAAGGGGTTTCTTTTTTCTTTTTTTTCCCGATTTTTAAATTTTTATTGGGGAATTGGGGGAAGGGGAACAGTGCTGGGGAATTGGGAAGGGGAGCAGACAAGTTGCTGTCTTTTTCTTCTTCAGTCTAGTTGTGGAGGACGTTGCTTCACTGGCCCAAGTTGGCACCAGGGCCCTCTGGCGTCCCAAGCCAGCTCTTAACCATCGCGCCACTCGGCCGGCCCATGAAAGGGGTTTCTTAATGGCTAAGACTGAAGGAGGTGCTTCTCATTCATCCCTCCTTCCTTATTACCTTTGCTATTTGCATGTTCTCAAGAACGCATTGTCCTCTTCGGGTGTCAGACTTGTCCAGGGCACCCAAAGGACAGA